CTGCTGTGAGGGGTGAATGCAGTGTGGGTTTGGGAGGACATCCAGCCCTCAGCCCAGTAACCGGTTACTTCCCTTCTTGGTGTGGACGGCACCCCCTCGCCCCCAGCCTGCTCTGCTCTGCCCACCCTCCTGCCCGGAAGAAGCAATCAAGCCAAGGTTCCCTTGGGCCTGGATCCCTCCGGCTCCGGCCTCATCTCGGCCCTGCTGCCCGGGAGGGTGACGTTGGGTGATGGATCCTGGCGGGCAAATCGGCCTGTTATTTTTGGTGTGAGGAATTTAATTAGCCTCACCTGTCACTGATTGCAAAAGCCATTGTGAGCCTCCGTACCGCTCAATTAACCGTAGTCAAGGCAGTGAGGGGTCAGGGGAGAAGGGAGGATGCGGTGGGGACTCTGCGTGTGTGCCCGTGTGTGTGCGCGTGCATACATGTGTGCAGGGCGGAAAGAGGGGAGGGGCCATGAGAGAGGAGAGGCTGCACGGGGGGAGGTGGCGAACTGGACTCTAAGTGGCTCCCTGCAGTGCCACCGGGCTTCGGTCAGTGCCACCGGCTGGCTGGGGCCCCGGCCGGCTCCATCACACCCCCTGGCAAATCCCTCTTTGTTCCTGTCTTACCCCAGCTGCGCCCTCTCTCCCAGGACCTTTCCCCCACAAGCCAGCCTTCTGGAGTCGAGAGCTGGGAAGGAAAAGCTGGGGGGGGGGGACAGCTGGCCAGAATAAAGTCAGCGTTTCCCCAGGGAATGCGGCTTGGCTGAGGCTGCTGGAGCCTGGGTACCACTGTCGTTTATCACAGCTTGAAGCAATGACACTATATTAACTAATAATCATAATTATGGGAACAGTAATGAAAATAAGAGCAACACTTGAGCCAACTTTGACAGGGCATCATCTCGTCTAATTGTCCAAACGACCCTCTGGAGCACAGGGAGGTTAAGTCACTTACCCGACCTCACACAGCTCAGCAGCGGTGGAGCCTGGCAGTGAACTCTGGCAGCTCGGAGTCTGCACTTGACCCCTTGCCGTGCTGCCTCCCGTCGAGGCTCCCACAGCCGGATCTCAGGGTGGAACACAGGACTGGTCAGCAGGGTGCGTTTCTGTTTTTTCATAAAGATTGTGACGCCAGGAGGAACGTCCCCGTGTGTGTGGAGCTCCTGTTGGTGGTAGATGTGATGTTCTGGGGCTGACGCTTTGACCGTGGCTGGAGTCAAGTTTGCTGAGGTGGAACCATGAAGTGCAGGGACTTGAAGCCAGCTGAGGGGACTGGACTTTCTTCTGAGGTTAGTGGGGAGCCCCTGAAGGTTCTGAGCAAGGGAGGGGCACGGTGGGCACAGCCCTGGGCGGTGGGGAATGGGGCGCGGCGCAAGCCTGAATGCTGTGTGTCAACGGGTTTGATGGACCAGAGTTGGGGCAAAGAAACCAGCAGGGATCTGAGAGTTGTCAAGATCACTAGCTCCGTCTTTCACTAGCTGTGTGACATTGAGAAAGTCCTCTCTCCTCTCTGGTCTGTCTCTTGCACATCTGTAAAAGTGGGGTGGGTGGAATCAGAAGATGTCTAAGATGTCTTGGGTGTTCTGTGATTCTCTGGATGACCTCAGCTGGGTGAGTAGATCTTGGAAGAAAAGAGGCAAGGAGGAGGCTTTAAGGAGTAGATTCTACAGGATCTAGGATCTGATTGGATAGACAGGATGCTGGAAAGGCTGGGGGGGGTGCGTCAGCGATGCTCCAACGGCAAGGAGAGATTGGTGTATGAGAGACATCATGGGAAAATGATCTAGATTATGCAGTCGGACGAATAAACTTCTGCTTGGGGACCCAGCGAGGCAGACCCCTCCCACCAAAACAAACAGACCAAGGGAAAAAAATGTATAGATGGGTAAGTTAATTAAAACATCTCCCTATCAGGTTACATGGCAAGATGCGATTTTACCTTTGGCATCTATGCAAGGGTTGTGCCGTTTCCCCAGATTTTGTTTGCAGTTTTTGCGTGTGGAAGAACAATGTGTTATGCTTCCGGCTTCTCAGGGGGCCTCGCGGGAAGTGCTGGGAGGGGCTGTTTAGAGGGAGAGGAAGGCGCGATTACAGGATGCTCAGGGCTGCCATCCGAGAGGGTCAGCGAGCAGTAAGGGGACAAGCTGAGGTGACAGGAGTGCTGTGAGCTGCCCGCCAAGAAGAGATCCGCTGGGGCCCCCAGAGAAGGTGAGGTTTCTGAGAGACTGAACTTGGGGTGAAGAGGATGCCAAGGTGGGAAAGGACCAGGCACAGTCCCCCAAAATGGTGACATGAGGGATCTTTCGGTTCTCCAGTCTTGTTTCCCTGAGCCAGTCCCCACTCCCACCCTTCCAGATACAGCACCACCTGTGCACCACGGCTTCATGTCCCGGTCACTTCCTTCATCGCCCCTCTCGGAATAGACTGTCACCTGACTTACTCGTTAGTGGGCTCCGTCAGGAGAAACTGCTTCTGTTCACCCCTGTACTATTTCTGGTCTCCAGAACAGAGCTTGGCATTGAGTGGGCGCTCCCAGCAAGTGTGGGATGGTGTAAGTACATGCACGCATCCATGAATAAATGCAATGGTGATATTTCAGGCCTTGTGAAGCCCGGGCTGGGGAGAAATCTGGGGTGGCATGACCTTCCTCCTATAAATTCAGAAAACACCTGCTGCGGGGCCTGCTTGGGGACGATCGCTGGCCGGCCTGCCTCCTGGCGGGCACCGCCCACACGGTCTGACCACGGCTCCGTGAGACCCTGGGACGGGCTCCGGGTGCCGGCGAGGGGAGGCCGGCGCTGCCTGTTCTCAGGGGGACGAGAGCCTCTCTCTCCGTCTCTCTGTATATATATATTCCTTTTTGTTCTGTTTTTCTTTTTCTAAAATAAAAAGTAGGTCCAGGACTCACGGAAGGCTTGCAGCCTTGACAGCGCTCCAGAACAAGTGGGGTCGGCAAGCCTTTGCTCCCCACTTTGCTGCCCCTCCGGCCACTGTCTTCCCACGGCCCCGCCCCTTTCCAGGCACCCCGATTTTCTAGAGCCCCCCAGCCCTGTAGATGGAGAGGGGCTCGCTGGGGTAGTAAGGGGGGGTGGTTAATCCTTTTCTATGCCACATAATCAATCATCCCAAATTTATTAAGTGGCTTAAAAACGCTGCCATTTGATGTGCTCACAGTCAAAATTCGGGAAGGGCGGAAGAGGGGGAGCAAATCCACGGGGTCAGCTGGATCCTGGCCACTGGCTCACCAGGACCCCACAGCCCCGTGGTCCACGGGGTCTCTCCAGCTAGCCTGAGGGACTTCTCACACAGCAGCTCAGGGCCCCCAGGAGTATGAAAGTGGACGCCGCCAGGGTTAGGCTGCCGTCTGAACTTAGGCTGGAACTGGGGGAGCGTCGCTTCTGCTGACCTTGACTGGTTTGGGTGAGTCCTGGGCCTCCCGGACTGTAGGTCAGGGGACCACGCAGGACGGTGAGGGGCAGGCACGTTCCAGTGCGTGTCACCAGTGTCGCAGCCAGCCAGCCGTGGGCCCAGCCAGGAGGAAGAAGGGCCACCCCAGGCCTCACATGGCCCTTTGCCCCAGTGCTGGGGCCTTGGACTTGGACGGATGTGGGCTTGGTCCCTGCCTGGCGGCCCGACCCTCCTTGGGCTCTGAAGGCTCACGGCACGCTGTCCGCCCCCACCCCCCAGCCTGTCTCTGGCGCTGCTTCCGTCACCTGTGAGGACAGACGGGTAGGCCTTGGCTGTGCCAACGCCTGCCCCTTTTCTTTCCTCTCCTCCTCACTCCTCTTACGCCCCACCCTTGCCGCCAAGGCCCCCCTCCCCTGCCTACCACCTTCCCGGAGACCCGGATCTCTCCTGTAGGCACGTAGCTACCCCCTCATGTGTTCCACAGACGGCCTTGTGGTTTCCATTCCCTCTTTACACGTCCCTTCTGTCCCCTGCCACCTGAGCAGAAAAGCCCTTTGAGCCTCGGCTGTGATCCCAGAGCAGGAGGGAACGCTTGTCGAGGTGAACAAGGCAGGTTGGCACGGAGAAGGCTGGACAGATGGCCACTGGGAGGCCCCAGGGTAGTGACAACAATAGCCACTCTGGTCTCCTGCCAAAGAGGCCATATGCAGTAGGCCAAGGAGCTGGCTGGTGAGGTGAGCAGCTGGAGGAGGGAGGCACGGAGGCCTGAAGCTGGGCCTGGTGTGTGTGGGGTGCCTTTAGGAGAGGACCCTCCACCTTCGCAGAGGACCATGGCCCTGGTCTCCTTTCCCCCTTCCTCAGGGTCTGCTAGGGCCCATACACAGAGAAGTCACAGGGCTGCGGAGGGGCGGGGAGCAGCTGGAAGTCCACCTGGGGTCCAGGCCCCTGCTTTCCCACCAGCCCTCATCAAGACTGTCCCCGCCTCCTCTGCTGGTGGGGACGGACATCATCTTGTTCCAAATGCAGAGGCCCCCAAGGAGCCACCACGCCACAGCCTGGGCAAGAAGAGTAGCGTGGGAGGGCGTGAGAAATGGCATCCTTTATTCATAAATAAAAACATAAAATTACCAGAAATAGTTTACATGGCCAAAAGGGGGCATCAAAAATAAAATAAAGCTGTCAGAAGCAGAGCAAACCAAACAACAAGACACAGCCAAGAGAAAAAATAACTCTGTACATATTCTTCCAAACGCCAGTCCATCCGCAGCCAGCCTCAGCCGGGGCTTCGCGCTCCGAAGGCAGAGGCCGCGCGCGGGAGGTGGGCCCCGGAGGAGGCGGCAGCCTCCACGCGCACAGGGGCACAGCCACCCGCAGGGGAAGCCCTCTCCCACAGCTGCCGCTCCAGCAGCCCCGCCTGGCCTCCCCCGGCACCCCTCTCACCCAGGGGACGGCCCAGCCTGGGCCGGGATGAGAGCAGGGGCGGAGGCTCAGGGGACAGGCAGCGCCCTGGTCCCCACGGGGCTCAGTGCACACGGGGGCCCGGTAGGAGTTAGCCGGACACAGTGGCCAGAGGAGAAACCCCAGGCGGGTACCACGTGAGAGCCTGGTCACTCCAGGGCCCAGGGGCAGAGTCCCCTCTGTGGTGAGGTGGTGAGGATGCCACTGTCGCTTTGCAGACAGCGGGACATTTCATCATCCTTTGGGGAGCAGAGGAAGCCGGCAGCAGAGCTCAGAGGGAGGGGCGGCGCGCTCCCGCTGGCCCTGGGCCAGGCCGCCTGCCTGGAGGCCCGTGTGGCCGACTCCCAGGATCCCCCCAGCTCAGCCTCTGCTGCTCAGAGCCTCCATCCAGACAGGCTGGGTTTGGCAAGGTCCGGGAATAGCAGGGAGGTTTTCGCACAAGGAAGGGAAGAAAAGCCACAGGGCGGGCGGCAATGTCGCTAAGTTACAGGACACTGTTGCACTCTGGGGCCGCCACCCTTGGGCCTGGGCAGGGATGCGGCAGTGGGCAGGGAAGGGTCCCACCATGGCGGAGCCGCTCTGCCCCTCCGTGCCCTCCCCCAGGCTTAGCACCCCCCTCTTTGCAGGCGTGGTCTTGAGGGTAGAGCACGGGGCTTTGGCCGCTCTTTGGCGGGGGGAGGAGGGGGTCCAGCCTGGGGAGGGGGAAGCTGCCCCTTTCTCTATCCCGTGAGGCAGTCTCCCTGGAAGGAAGGACTCAAACAAGGCACAGGCCGGTGGAGATGGAGGGACCGAGGGCCGTGGCACAGGGAGGGGGTCATCTTTGACTTGGGGGTTTGCATGTGGCCAGTGGAGGGTACTGGCCTCAGGCAGGAAGGGGACTCTTGACCTGTCGATTCCAGGTCTAAATCTAGCTAATGACTAAGGGTAATGGCTTGAAATTCCAGAAAAGCTCCTCTGTCACGCGAAGGCAGGACAGGCGCAACTTAACACGGGGAACGGAAGGCAGAGCCAACGGCCGGGTGGCGGCCCTGCCCTCAGCCCAGGCTCAGGGAAGGGATGTGGTGGCCCTGGAGGGGCAGGGGCAGGAGGAGAAGGTGCTCTCCCCTCCCAGCCGGGGTGCTGCGGGCCAGCAGTCAGTCGGAGAGGCAGAACTGGGGGCCCTGGCCTGGGACTGTCGTGTCCGCAGACTCTCTCGTCCCTCCCACCCTGGTGAACCCCTCTCAGCACGCAGGCATGAGGCCCAGGAATCCAGCAAGGGCTGGCTGCCGTAAGAACAGCAGCTGTGGCTAGAGTCAAAAATAGAACATGGAACAGCCCGGCTGCCTGTGAGATCTGGCGTGCTTCTGAAAAGACAAGGAAGGAGAAAGAAAGAAAAAGAAAATTCCCTGATCCAAGCAACTGAAGAAACCACTTTTCTCCTCCCCACATCCGCACATCTTCAGAAGCCCAGCCTCCTGCAGGCCCTGGCCCCGCCCACAGCAGGCACCCTGGGTCCTTGACAAGGGGCTCCCGTGGGGCTGCAGGTGGAGGGGGGTCAGCTGGGGGCCCCGGGGCTGTTCAGAGGCTGCGTTGGTGTCTCCTACTCTCTTTGGCCACTGGCACTCGGGGGACCCTCCCTGACCTGTAAAGTCCGTCTCCGCTGAGCCCTGGAGAAAGGAAACAGCGGGCAGCTGGCTGGAGCCGTGGGCGAAGCGGGGGATGCCCAGACCGCCCTGCGCCATCTCAGTGGACACACGTTGTTCTGGATCCAAGCAAAGGCTTGGTTCTTGGGAAAGAAAAACAAACCAGAGTCGCCTCTAGTCAGCTTGACCCAGGTGGGGAAAGTCCCACCTCGGGTCCCACGAGGACAGATCTGGAGGCTCCCCTGGGGACAGCTGGAAGTCACACCCTCTCTGTGTCATGATGCCCTCAATCTCTCCTTCTCAGCACCCACCCCAGAACCTTGGGTCTATGGCTTTAAGAAGAGTGGTTATGGAGGTCCAAGGCCACCAGCCATCCACAGGCTGCTGACCCTGCTCACCTCCAGGCCTGACTGTTACCGCCTGGCTTCTCCCTCGGACCCTCTCTGGGTCTTGCTGAGTCTAGACGGTCCTGGGCGGCCCCAGTTCTTCCATCCTTTCTGCAACCTGCCATGGTCCCCACACCCCACTGCAACCCCTACACCTCTGTGGATGGGGGAAAACGGCTTAGGTTATGACCGGGTTGGGTTCCCAAGCTTCTGCTCACAAGTGGCTGGATTCTATTCCCAAGGCATCCCAGAGTGTCCCGGGGCTAGGGGGAGAGGCTGTGGGAAGAGAGGTGGAAGGGGGGTTCCGTCCTGGGGAGGCCACTGGCCTTGACGGCAGTCGCCACCATTCCTGGGAAAAGGGCATCTCTAAGTATCTGAACAAAGGCCAAGGTTTAGGGAGCCCTTAACCGAATGATGGAGATCCCGCAACTCATCTCTTGGCAAAGCTAGAGGTCTGGCGGGCTGCAGGGATGCTAAGCGCGGGGACTTGGGACAAGTGGAGAGAGGCCAGGTTGCAGCCCCTCTTCCCCCCTCCCTCCCCCCGAGGCTCCCAGGTCTGGGCTTCTCTCAGAGAGGCCGGAGCAGGGAGATGGGGAGGGGTCCCTCGCTGACGGGGGCTCACACCCCTGCCCCCCGAGGCCCGGTCCCCGGCCCTCCGTCCCCGGGAGGCCCCTCGCGGATCTCGGTGGCGATGGATGTCCTCGTA